TACTACCCAAGAGGGATTCAAATAACCCAAAGTAGGTACTGCTTATCAACTTTATAGGGCCCACAACTATTTATGATGGACTTGGATCCCAGGGAAAAAGTTTGGACAACATCAACACCAGCTAACGAAAACATGCTGCAGAAATCACTTGCTTGGTCTTTGCTCGTGCCTTTCTGGATGCTGTAAGAAAAGAAGGACCAATGCATTCATCATCTTCTACTTCGGGCAAAGAGCAAGTATGCATAGACGAGTTCCGCCAGAAGCTTCCTTCTCTGGAGCGTCGCAGTAGCGAATAAAGGAACATATTGTATCGTGATTCCTAAACCCTAAACCCGGAACCTATAGGGATTATATTCCCTCGTTCCCTACTAGCCATCAGCAAGTCCCAGAAGATTCTATGACAATTCACAGAGCACTTCAGAGCTCTAAAGTCCGAGCCTGGGGTTTAGGGTTTAGAAAAGGTTTATGGTTTGGGGTTTAGGGTTTGAGGTTTATGGTTTGGGGTTTAGGGTTTGAGGTTTATGGTTTGGGGTTTGGGGTTTAGGGTAGTTTCGGCGCATGTCCTGATGATAGTCACCTCCCCTAGTACCCAAAGGGTCCAGGTAGCTATATACCCTTAGGGCCCAAAGAGGGTTTCCACATATCTGCTATAGAGAGGATATATTCTACAGCTACATGGAGCCTTTGGGGTATCAAAACCTCCCCACCCGCCCAAGATTAAACGTTTCCAGTCTGGTCTGGTATACAATAATAACTTGATTGGCCTTTGGAACCCTTTGAAAACTATTAATATATGGGGTCCTTATGAAACCAATTACGGAAAATATCTAAGTATCCCAAAGGCCAGCCCAGATAATACATTAAATACATTTAGAATTAGAAGGGTGGCGTGGGTTAATATTAGGGGAAGGGAGCAGTTCATTGGCGCGCCTACCCAAGGGCTCCTATGTAATCCCTTTTTTGGGTTTCTCACGGGATTTTTAGGCCAGGATGATAACATACTACCCAAGCAAGGAGCTACACAGGAGGCTCTGGGTATCTACACGTCACAGGCAACCATGCTGTTGTGAAGGATTTCGACCAGCACGGTTCATAGTTACCCCTTTTACAGACGAGCCAATACAGTAATATGGAACCCCTCTTAATTAACCCCCCTCCCAAATGGGGATTCTCATCAGGATCCTAATATTAAGGGCCTTAAAAGGAAACGGGTTTATTACTCAGGGGTTTACAATAAGCCTTGTCATCAGAAGGCAGGGGCCTGATGCAGCCGTACTGAGGCTTGACCATGGCTCCATGCGTAATCGCACATAGCCCACCCCAGAAACTTCAGAGACAAAACACAGTTTGATTGGTGAGTACAAATGGAATACCCTGAGACCTTGCACCTGGCGCAACTAGGCATTTAGGGGAATTGGGGTTTAGCGTTTGGACTTCAGAGCTCACGGAGTCTCGCGCTTGCTACGGCTTACCAGGCTCTATGTCAACCACCTGGACTCCAAAAGTATGTAAAATCATAGCCCAAAACATATGAAACTAGCTCAAAACTCATTATTCTGCGTACTTTTGGGGTTCAGGTATAAACCCTCTCGGCACCCTGAACCTATGAACCTGGGTTCCTGGTTCAGGGTGGAAGGCTTCGAGAATAGCCGCCCCCTGAAGTAGATGGGGTATACGAGGATCTCGCTATAATATACCTGAAGCCTTACTCTATCCACTGAAGAGGGACTATAACCCAAACCCTAAAAAACAAGGGGGAGGTACCAATAGATCAGGTACAAAACCCTTGTTTGGCGTATATTGTTTACTCTAGGTAGGCTTCAGTTTTATAGTGTTTAGGTTCTACGATTGGGGCGGAGGGTTGGGTCTCAATCCGTGGCACGGTGGTTGCCGGTGGAGGCGTAGGCGTCGGTGGGGGGCTCGGCGTGGGCATCTAGGCCAAGCGGAGTTTAGTTTAGGGTTTAAGGAAGACAGTAGCGGGCTCTCAAACTGGGGATGTTACAGGACCCTGATGATATTTCAGGCTTCTATGTATGGAGAGTGTGGGAATTCATATTAGGCGTTCAAAGAATAATGTTGATAAATCTTCATTATCCGACATGTGGGATCTTGGCCTCACTCTGCATGGTATGGCTGCTCGATGGAAAAATGCTCATGACTATCGAAGTAGCGCTAGGGGTCACAATGGCACAACGTAAACACTAGGGATAAATTTGTGTGACTTTACGGCCCAAACTTGGCTTTGTGCTTTATGACTTCAACCCAGTCATAGAAAACAATAGGCCCCAAATTCGTATCAATTCTATGACTTCAGGGGCCAATATGTGTATTAGTTCTAGACTTGAAGGGAAAAAGGTCGGGTAGCGCTTTGTGCCTTGCCGGTTTACACTCTGGGTTGGATAGAAGATTTGTAGCCTAAGCCTCTTAAAGGTTTAGGGGTCTAGGGTTTAGCGTTTAGCGGCTTCAGGCCTCAAACCCCAAACTTTTTTGGTCCCTTCAACTTAAGTTCCTTGCAGAAGTTGGTTCCCGAGGCATGGCAATTGGGGTGAAAACGATATGTGATGAATTCAGATCTGTATTGGTTTGCGATTTAGGCGTTTCTCCTTTACAGCAACAGTAACCACAACAGGTAACAGGAGTTATAATAGCTTACGGTAAGGGGGAATGACCCAAGAGGCACAAGGCATTTCCAACAATGACCCAGACAGGCATGAGTTCTACGTCTTCCAAGTGTATACATATGAGCTATAGTCTAAACTCCTAGTGTCCCCCTTAATAACCCCTATAGTAGTCCCCTATATAATCCCCTATATAACCCCCTTTAAGGAGCTTAGACTATAGCTCATATGGCGTTTTCATAGATGTATATGGGGGTATCTAGGGATAAACTTCTGTGGGTTATGTGGGAATCTTACCATCCTCAGCCTGGATGAAATGAGGCCAGGTTGGTGATACCCCTCTCATATGAGTAGTGCCTTTTTTGGTGGTTGAACCTAGTAAGATTATATTCCTTATATAAAATACTATACCCCCAAAGGAGTATAGAATCTTGCTCTATAATGGGTGCCATAGTATCCCCAAATAAAATACTACTCATATGAACCACCAGGTCAGACGAGTTTGGGTGAGGTCGTTGCAGCTTGCCCAGGCTTAGAAGAAGGAACCCCCGCTTATATACCCAACATCTACAGTTGAAATCTGTCCGGAGCAGATTCCGGGTCTGTTTGAAGCGGCCATGGATCTTAAGCCTACCTAAACCCCCAAAGTAGGTAAAATAATGGCCCAAATCCCTAAATATAGCCCAAAAGGCCATTATTCTACATACTTTGGGCGTCCAGGTAGGGATTTAACCCCCAATATTACCCCAGTTTCCATTTAATTTTCCATGTTCTTTTCCATTTGATTCTCCATTATAGGAGGATATTGGGAACCCTAAATTCATGAAAGCTCAGCCTAAACCCTAAACCCTAAACCCTAAACCCCTAAACCCTAAACCCTAAACCCTAAGAATGCGAGCTCAGGATCTTCAAGTTGGAAAATAGTGGCCTGGGAGCCTGGAGGGAGGAATCTCCTCCGTCTAAGAGTAAGAGTCCAAAGATGTTTAGGGTTTAGGGGTTTAGGGTTTAGGGGTAAGAGTCCAAAGATAGAACGCTAGGGTGTGGGATTTGGGAAGGTTCCGGCAAATTCTATGGAATCAAGACCTTAGACACTAAACCCTGCTCCCTATCCTTGGACCTGCACCCCCCTGCACCTTCTAACCCTAAACCCTGACCAAGACTCAACACCTCCAAATCACTACTTGGAGGTTTGTGACATAACTACAATTACAACTAAGGGCGCCCTTATTTGGGGTACTTATTTGCCTACTGTCTAACTGCCCAGGACCTCCAGGTGCATCCCCCAAAACCGAGTGCAACGTCGTAACTGGAGGGTCAGGGAGACTTAGTAATTAGGTTAAGGACCCCAGCAAGCCGCATAGCAACCCCAGCTATCCCCATCATTAACTTACTTACTAGGTCTCCCTGACCCT